ATGTCCTTCATCAGACTCGTTGTTTTCCACTGCTTTGCGGCATCGATCGGAAGCCCATGAGAGAACAGCATGATCGATGTAGGCACCAAGTTCGTTCGAGGCATACACGCCTCTCAGTGCAGGATTCTCCTTCACTTCGGGAATATTCCCCAGCTGACTACAGATAGCTCGTGTGATGGCTGAGGCCGGTGGTCTGTGGCGCATCTCGGACCGCGGTTGATGAATCGCGTTATCTGCGCCGACGCGTTCGGAGATCGAATTCTCCCACACCGGACGAAATGCAGGACCAAGGGCGTGTTGGACTATGTGAAATAGGCCTGTCCAGAGGTCGCCGGTACTGAAGCGTTCTGCATAGTGCTCATCATGTTCTTCTGGCATCAAGTCGAGATAGTGTTTCGTCGAGGGATCCCTGAACTCGGTCATATGGCTGCGGACGTAGTCGAGGACCTGCCTTTCCAGCGTTCGTGAGCGCAGGTCGAGCCAGGATGCCATATCGTCGGCGCCATCGACATCGCCGTCTTCCCTCCGCCGAGCCCACCAATCATCCCCGTGAGTAGTTACCATAAGACCTTCGATCGCAGGTATCAAGTCCTGTCGTCGTAAGGGCTTATTGTTCTCGTGAGTATCGACAATATCTGCGGGTTGAGTGTTTACCCAACGTACTACATGGTCGATGACCTGTGCCATGACCTCGCCTTCCTCCTTCTTGATCTTCAACAAGGGCTGCACATCCGGAAACCGAAGAGTGAGGTTCTGTTGAAGATGGCGGCAAAGACCGTCATAGGCTTCCTTGTCGAGCGAGCTTAGAAATCCACTTCGCCGAGCTGTCTTTTGGACCGGTTTGATGGTGGAAGGGGCCGATGGGCTGGACTTGCTGTCGTCGTTACTGTTGCCGCCTCCCTTGGGATAAAAGACCTGGTGAACATCAGCAGCATCATAGGTGTCGCTTTTGAGGCTGCCGGCTAGCACATTCCAATCGGAAATTTGAATGGACTCGGAGGTGGAGGTAGGAAGTGCCCTCAGAGTTTCGAGTACCTGGTAGAACGCATCGAACCAATACTACTCCCAGGTCAGCAATATGTTCTAGGTAAGGCTTGATGGTGGCCAAGATTATTTTTCTTTTTCTTTCTTTTTCTTTTTTTGCCCTGGAGTGGAAGAGATGGACGAAACGATGAATGATGAACCATGATCCACAGACACCAAGGGCGAGTCACTCACATCGTCCAGTCTGTACCCTGCGATCTGATACCATTTTGAAATGTTAAATGTGGTTCTCCCCAGGGAGGTTCGACACCAGCGGGTAACCCGAGGTCTCCACCGCTCGCTTCGCCACAGCGTGACGAGACGGCTGATGGGAAAGCGAGCTTCACTTGTCAGGCACAAGATGTCCAGCATGCTTTTCTCGATACCCTTCTTGTTGACATTTCTCTCGACGGAAAATAAAGTGGGATCCCGATCAAAGGCCGAGACGAGCTGTAGCCAGATTTGACCATGGGTGTCGGGCAGGGTGAGATCACGGCGATTGACACGAAGCTTGATGTCAAGTTCGACTGGTAGAGTGTCTGTGCAGAAGGGTGAGTATGGTTTGTCATGTATATAT